ATGGGTTAGATCAAGAAGAAAATGAAGTGCATGAAATTAAATCATCACAACTTCTTCCAACATTAAAGATTAATACCCTCCACAACTTTCATCCAACACTTTATATACTTATCATTTTAAGGAGAATGATAAAGAAAACTACTCAGAATCCATGAAGAAAACAAAACCAAACTTTAATTTAAAAGTAGAAATCATTGTTAAACCAACAAGAAGTCTCAATTAAAACCAAAAGCAGTTTAAAACAAATATAAAAACTTATCTCAAATCCTCCACAAAATTCTTGAAGTTCCTTTGAATCTCTTCTCTCTTACAACACTCTTAACTCTCAAATTAAAGCTATAAACAAAAGGAAAATAAATTTTTGGTACCTGAAATTTTCTTCAAAAGCTTCTCCACAAACTTCTTCAAGAACCTTTCAAAACTTCTTAAGATTTTTCGGGACTCGCCCTTCAAAAAGTCTCAACTTCTTTCTTTTATAATTTTTCAAGAGGTGCCTTGGTATCTCTTCAAAATGTGTCTTGATTTGATGATTTACCAAGGGATGTCTTCTTTCACAAGTTCTTTAATTATATTTTCGTCCATGGTGGTTATAACCACCCCTTTTAGGTGCCTTAAATGTCTCTTCAAAATTTGTCAAAATAAATTAACCCGTCAAGTTACTGTCACTGGCACTTAAGCACAGGGTCTCTGACACTGAGACACAACCTTCTCTGTTTCACCGACGCTTAAGCGCCGGATTTGGCGCTTAGGCGTCAAAATACTTTTGCACCATTTTTGCATTTTTGCTCCAAATTGATCCTTTTTCACTCAATTTAGCATTTTTCACCTTTTTACTTGTACCTGAAAGAAAAACCAATAAATACGTTCTATTAAAGCACACTATCCAAAAAATAGGAATAAAATATGTCTAAAAACATTGTGTATTTTAGGTGTATCAAAGTCCCCCAAACTTAAAATGTTACTTGTCCTCAAGTGACACTTCAATCTTTAAAAACCAAATAAGTATGATTATGCATATGAGTTTGTTTAAGAGTTTTGTCAGCACTTTTTGGTGTGGGGTTTGCCCGTAAGAAGCCGTCGGTCATCGGAATTGAAATCCCATTGCCCGCTTCGGAAGGACGTTTTTTTTAAAAATTTTAGTTTTGAAAAAGATGAAGTCAAACTGACCCCATAATTTTCATAGTTTAGATGAAAGAGTGCTTTACCTCAAATACTGTATCTATCCCAAAGGATGAACACAGGAATTGAGGGTGAGGCTCGATCAAATAAACTAAAGAAAGTTATGACATCCATTTTGGTCTGCGAAACCAATGTATTGGCCGACAAGTTCCCCTATTTA